AAGAAGAAGAAGAACAAATAACTCATCACTTAAAAGCAACAACAAAAATCTCATTACAATTGTAACCCAAAATACAACCAAACGACCTTTAGCAACACATAATCATGTTTTGCTGCTTACATTGGCGCTATATTTAGCATGGTAAGACGTAGATACAGCCACACAGAAGAGAGCCCAGTTGTCGACACTGATCAGGTTCACACACGCACAGTCGGCAGCCATGTTGGCCTAGATACCGATCCACACGCAGGCCGGGCCGGGTCTGTCGGAAAGAAACATTCTTGGGGCTATTTCTGGAACCCGCCTGCTTGTACACCCGAGTTACGTCACCGAGCCGCTTAGATTTGCAACTTCCTGTTATGTTCTGTATGCACTATTACTGGATCTCTTGCCGTCAAAAACATTAACTTTTTCCCCCTCTTTATCACAGCGAAACTAAACAGCCAGGTTGGGTTCTTTTGTGTTATTTCACCATATGATATTGCCTTCGAGATTTGGTAGGGAAATTCCCAGACTGTCCTATAGTATTGGGGAGGGGGGGGGGGGTGTGTTAGGTTGACAGTTTTTTTTTCAAACATGTTATAAACTGGATGCAACGTTACAGTCCCATGTTTTTCTGCTACATTGGTACAAAACAAAAATGCTGTTTCGTCTTAAAATGTTCACTATACTTGATGCAGAATCCGATGCTCCAAAAAATTCAGGCTCACACCCTTATAGGGCTTCCAGTCATCCCCTTGTGGGATAAAATGTTTCCTTATTGGAAGCCCTACTCTGGCTCTTGCCAGGGGCAGCAATATAACCCGGCCATTAATATGGCCTAATGGCTGAACGCGGTTTCTGGGACCTCTCCACGGGTGATCCTCATCCATATGGTGGCACTTTGTGTCATCGGGTGTTTATCGCTTGTGTGATGTCCTGGTGGGGTAAAAGTACTACTATTACTATTAATTTGAGGCTTCCCCCGTAATAGTCAGGGACTGATAATCCCCCCCCCTCCCACCCTCCCTAGTTTTTTTTCCAAGCTGAGCAACTCCCATTCTAAGTGCTTCTCTGAGTTCTCTATTAAAGAATTTGATAATTTCATATTATTTTAGATATTATACGAATTTGTCACGTAGCGCACAATAATGATAAAACTAACAACTGCACACTTATTCACCTTATTTGTAGTAAACTGTAAACAGCAGTAATATCTACAAAACTAATGCCCACAACAAATACAATTGACCAGCCACGTACGTGTATTAAAATCGACAACGAATAGACTTAAAATATCACATAAGTTTGACTATCTAGTCTCGGTAATGAACAAGAAGAGCGACTGCATAAAAGTCAGAAAGAGACTTGCTTTAGCAATGCAGAGGCTAACAATCGCCAAGAACCTATGGCACAGCATTTCAAGCATGTTTCGGACAATATATCCAGGTAGGACTTATTTCTGACCGTCACATATAAGGTAGGATGGCTAGCTACATTCGTCCATCACTCCCCCCCCCCTCCCCCAAAACTGCTGGACAATAGGTTACATCGTAAAAGTTGTGTGGTGCCCCAGTATAACTACAATATGATTATAGGGTTAAACGGGGTTCCCGGTATTTGTATCTGCCCGATTCTTTCCCTTGTGAGATGTTTATCCTGCAGACTTAGATCTGGAAGGGACAAACTTCCTACTTGCCCATTCGTTTCCTCGCCGTCTTTCCATCCATTACAATTATTGCAACATTCTGGATATTACCAGACAATCACTCCTAGGTGCTACACACGGATGCAAGATTTGCACCTTTTCGCTCTTTCCAAACGTTAGTATTATTTGTGCTATGGAAACTGCGTCAGTAAAAGTGTGCAAAATTTGCCGGTCTCAAGTCTCAAAGAGTTAACGGTAAGGAATCCATCATTTGGCGCCATTTCTCAGCTCGCAACAGAAGAATATTTACACTTAGACAATAACAAGCGTCTGTGGGTTACTAAAGTGTTGCTAAGGCGGGTAGAGGCAAATACAACGAAAAACGTACGATACCCACGGGTAGGGAAACCACATTGTCTGCATACCACAGGCTAGCAGAGCAACCGCCGATTGGTGGCTGCCAAGTCATGTGATGCTAGCAGCTTGTCTGTGGCGCCAAACTAAAATGTTATTGTGTACAAATTCCATTCATACTTGGATTTCCTGGAGCCACAACGCCGACAAGTTGCCACGGGAAACTGCAAGCTGGGATGTTGCTACATGTTCCAAGTGTGACCTACTTTACTACGTGGTCATTTAGAGCAGTGTTCCTCAGTATCCCCCCCCCCCCTTTCCTCCACTACCGGCCCACCAAAACGGGGAAAATTGTTTCGCGTCCCACCTGGCAGCTTACCAAACACAGATACACAAACACATGTCGATGAGTTTATTTGGTAAATTAGATATCACAGAATGTCAATTTTCGACCAGTGCGACATCCGCTGATGCTTAGAGTTGAGCAAATCTTATATATGCGGCTGGAGACGCAGACGTTTTCCCGCTCATGCTTTCTCGTTGACTCAATGAGTATGCTCAGGAAGATAGATATGAGCTGGGTCTGAAGACAGTGGCTTGAGTCTTTAAAGCTTTCGGGACTGACGCATATCAGTTTCCTATTTGTGCCAGGTCACGCAGGCATGCGGCCCTATAACCCCAGACTGACGACTTCCCTGTCCAGACGGCCCTAAAACTATTAAAACAGACGGTAGTTACAGTTGACCGCTGTGGGTGTTGAAGGAGAGGTAATGTTTTTGCTTAGTGCTCTTCTGACCGCTTCCACCATAGAAACATCGCGCTGTTGTAGAGTTTCTCTGGTGTTATCTTTCCATTCATTTATATCTCATTCTTTTCTCTGCAGTGATAATAAATCCATTGCCGGCTTGCTAGGCCTGCCGCAGCTTCATGCGAGCAACGTTGGCCAGGACGTTTTAGTGTGACATTTAGATGCTTCAGAGTTGCCGGGTAGTTAGCGTCTTTTAGGTTTTTTTTTTCTTTCGAGTGTTTTGCGAAATGAGCAGGCAGATAGACTGACCGGTTCTGCACTCTTTTGGGATGTATTGATAGATGACAAGCTAGACGTTGTGAGGGCTCTTTTGGGGCGTGTGAACAGTGCAGAGGCACAAATGGATCATTACGGTCTGAGGATAATGGCGCTGCGAGTTGTTACCAGGATATCTGACCGACGCTCAACATTCAAGACAAAGGCGAGACGGATGCACAATCGGCTATTGGTGACATAGGAGTTCGAACTCTGCGCTTGCTGCTGAAGATAGGGCCGCATGGATCATGGGAGTATCTGGGTGGTCTGATGTCGATTCTTTTTTCAACATTTTGGGATGACCCATGATGGCATTCTCGGTTATCGTAGCGGTCCCGTGGCACAGGGTACATCAAATGTTGTCCAAGCAATCGCCTATGTTGTCGTCCAGTGTGGTGATGTCGCGTTAGGGCGCCAGTCTGGTGACATTTATGTAACAATAGTCTCACTTGCCTCACAAGATGACAGCTAATGGTTAGTTGTTAAATTGTTCTTATTAAGCATTACTTTGATATATGTATAAAGAAAACCGAGATCGACCAAATCTAAAATGGGTTCCAGAAAATGCCGTGGAAAGTAAATGCGGTATATACCAATAATAATTATCCTGTTAAATATGACCATATTTTTTTTTCTGTATGTATGCAATAGTACTCAGAACCGGCATTTTTACGAAGCAATAATTTTTTTCTAGGCCTACTGTACCATACACTTTCTGGTGAGTATAGACACATTTTGTTTTTAGACACTTTGTCTTTCGTACCGGCACATTTATTTTTAAGTATGAAAATTTCCTAATGTAACACATTTTGTGTAACCTTATGTTATTCACTGCTTCTCATGCATGATTGTAAAACAGTCTGCAAAGTGAACAGTACTATTTATTGTACGATTAGAACTCTGGTTACCTAATCTCATTTAAACCTTCCTTAGCGGTCACTTATGACATGCACGTTAGTTTTATTGTTACTATTCTTGGATTGTCCCATCTGTACTGGCGTCCATAAGTGGTAGCACAGAAGCAACAGAAACCCAGATTTGAACAAAGAAAATACAAACAATAGGTTGCACAAATTTGTTTCCTGGGAATACAGCATATTTCGCTGTTTTTATTTTCATATTTTGTTACCATTGTGTTTACCTGTTACTGTAGTATTACTTGACACGATGCAGTCAAATATGATATAAACTGCACAATCGTTGGACCATATTTTCTCTGTTCAAAATTGCAATGGGGGAACTCTGCTTTGATGTTAGTGTTGCCACTTTTCTTTGACAAAAAACATCCACAATGGAGTCAACAAAATCTAAAAACATCTAAATTTGCGTGAAAAACATCTAGAAAAAACATCCAAATGGAAAGATTCACAAATTACCTAGCAATTTATATGACTTACACTATAGGATCATGTCCTCATCTTTACTGAAGTCTGCCTTACAAGAGCCACAGGATAAACTTAGCTTGGGTGATGAAGTTAAAGCTTCAGATCCAAAACGACTCTGGTATGCTTTAGCTGTTCCAGTTTTTTTCAATACCCAATCAGGAACGGAACAACCTATTCCTTCTCTTATCAGGCCGAATTTTATTGTAGAGATATCATTTAAGAGGTCAAATTTTAATCCGTTTCTTAGGTTAGATTTGATAAATTCACTCCAAATGATAAACATCTAAAAAAACATCTACCATCTAAACATCAAAAACGCAATCTAAATGCAAGGAAAAACATCTAAATCTGTATGTAAAACATCCAAAGTGGCAACACTGTTCGATGTTATAAAATTACATTTGTTTCGTTCACAAAATTGTTGGACTTGCCAGACCAAGGGAAACCACTCTTGTTGTTGTATCACTACAACACAGTGAACGTCAAGCAGACGTGTGTCTCAACTGTGTGTGGGTATCCTGAAATTTGTGGCTGTTATTGTCAGATACTAGACACAGATTTATAGCAGATCATGGTATGCTATTTTAGTTTGTGCTGCAGCTTTTATCTGACCGTCTTGCCCGAAGTTCACTGACATTGTTGTCCCTTCCCCGACAACTGCGCTTTTATTGCACGTCATTTCAAAACGAATAGTGTTAACAGAGTTGTTACGTTTTAGTTTTGTTTTAGTTAAATACTAATTGTTTGAACAAATAACATTTTGGAGTAATCAGGAATAGAACTACGTAATCTGACCATTTTTATTTCGTGCAGAGATCACAACAAAACATCCACTGCCTGCAGATCTTGCTGTTGAAGGCTTGAATTCCCTGTCCTACTATACTGTGTAACTGTATGAACTCATTTTTTGGCTCTCCTTTGTATCGTTTCCCAAAATTAGCGGCTTTGATATGATGGCGTTCGAAAGAGAGTTAAATTGGCCAATTTCTGGCCATAAAATATCCAAAAATATCAGAATGCGGGTCAATTCTATTAAACATATATGTGCCGGCTCCGGATAACGAAACAAATGCTCTGACAGGGTCTCGGCGATACGTTGCTTGCCGACCTGCTTCTGCAAGTGTGCCTCACCACCGAGCGTATCCCCCGCGCAGTGATAATAAATCCATTGCCGGCTTGCTAGGCCTGCCGCAGCTTCATGCAAGCGACATTGGCCAGGACGTTTTGGGATGACATTTAGATGCTTCAGAGGTGCCGGGTAGTTAGCGTCTTTTAGTTTTTTTTTTCTTTTGAGTGTTTTGCGAAATGAGCAGGCAGATAGACTGGCCGGTTCTGCACTCCTTGGTGATGTATTGATAGATGACAAGCTAGACGCTGTGAGGGCTCTTTTGGGGCGTGTGAACAGTGCAGAGGCAGAAATGGATCATTACGGTCTGAGGATAATGGCGCTGCGAGGAGTTACCAGGAGATCTGACCGACGCCCAACATTCAAGAGAAAGGCGAGACGGATTTACAATCGGCTATTGGTGCCATCGGAATTTGAACTCTGCACTTGCTGCTGAAGATAGGGCCACATGGATCATGGGAGTGTCTGGATGGTCTGATGTCGATTCTTTTTTCAACATTCAACATTTTGGGGTGACCCAGGATGGCATTCTTGGTTATCATAGAGGTTTCCTGGCACAGGGTACATCAAATGTTGTCCAAGCAATCGCCTACGTTGTCGTCCAGTGTGGTGCGGATGGGAAGCTAAACTAGATGGCTGGGACTCACGAGCGGCAGCTACCGCATCTCCTGCAACTTCCTCCAATTACTGTACTTGTGAGTCCCAGGCACCTAGTTTAGCCCCCATCCGCGCCGCGCCGGTAGCGGCGCGGGGGATACGCTAGGCTATGAGTTTAATCGGGTTTGGCACATGCCGACAAGTCTGACATCTACCGCTGCTAAATCCTCCAATCGGATGAACACAGTATTGCTAATCGGCTTTCATCGTCTGTAATGTCTCGAAATTGGTCAACGGTCGCTAATATCGTCTGCTAGTATAGTCTGCAGAAACGCTCAAAATTGTTGTCAACGGTCGGTATTTGTCGTCTGCTACTAGTACCGTGTGCAAATGTTAAAATTGATTGTCAAGTAATCCTAGTTTTGCCGCGATTTGTTCCTTGGCAGAAAGTCCGTATTTTAGATATACACGAACACCGTCGTTCGGATATTTTTGGATATTTTATGACCAGAATGTGGCATGCCGCCATTTTGGGGAATTATTCAAAGGAGCGCCCAATTTTTAAATGATTTTAGTTTTACAACAACCTGTTTTTATTTTAGGCTTCCAGGTTGACTCGAGGTTTCCTTCTAAATTAGAGTTTATCTTCCTTAGATTAGATGCAAGGAACCTACAGTCTGCATTCAGTTAAGCCAAACATGTGAAACAAATTTGAGATTTGATATGCATAGAAAACTCCAGTTCTGGAAAATAAAAAGAACAAATAAAAATAAAATATCAGAATTGGACGAATGAACAGAACTTTCTGCCAGAGTTTACAGCTAGTGAGAAGAAGCTATATGTACAGAACAAGTTTTGGGTGTCAGAGTACACGATCTAGCTCTGACAGTTTTGCCCTCTATCTCATGAACAGACAATAGATTAACAGTTTAATATCTAGTATAGAATCTCTGCCTAGCATATATACCCTCATTCTATTATAATAATTGTCAAAAAGAAATTGGAGAAATGTTATTACTATCACAATATCAAATTTACTGTACATATTTAAGGGATACCATCTGTCACAGCACTGATAGATTAGTTTGTTTGACCTTTTAACATTTTCAGGCGGTTACGCTTCACACGGACGTGGGTGATTTAAAGTTGGAGCTGTTTTGTGAACAGTGTCCCATCGCATGTGAGGTCAGTATTGGTTTCTTGTGTCATTTTTTTAAAGTGTCTCATCGCACAGTTTTATTGTTATGTTTTTCTATAGTCTCTAGACATTTAGGATCAGTGTTTTGTTTAATTTATTCCTCTTCCAAGGTTTATTGGCTGTAAACTCCTGTGGAAAGTTCCAGTTCTTCGTCCATTTCTGGACTTTGGTCTTGCTCCACAATGAGTATTGTGTGCACATCCATTTTACACAGCCGGGTTATTTGTATGCAGACTGTTGGTTCATCATATCCTAGGCAGAAACATGCACACACCCCTAATTGATTAACTTTTATGTTCTGGTGGAGGAGGGGGCTGTTGTTTGACCCCACCCCTCCCCCTTTTACAATAAAGCCCCAGAATCCAGAAAGTGTCTGTTTAAAAATTGTTGTAACATTGTGTCATCATACAAGGTGTATAAACGACTTATTCACAATGATATCTTTAAAGTGTTGCCAGAAGAAGAAACATTGGCAGCATCATAGGAACAAACTTGTACATTGTAAAAATAGGCTGTTGTAGACAAAATATTGTATTATAAAGACAGAATATTATGTTATGAAGATAGACTGGTAATTTATACAGACTTGTAAATTATAGTCTGGTACGTTAAAGAGACAGATAGGTCAATTAAAGGAAAGACTGGTAGCCTGGGAGATTAGCTAGCATATTCTAACAGGAAATGGCTGATATACCACAGCAGCTTGAATATTATTTCAGAATTTCCTGGCGCTGTGTGCAAGTGGATACTACAACAACTGTCTGCTGCACAGAAACATTCCTGGGTTTATGGTTCAAACTGGCGACCCAACGGGTAAGCTGTAAATTATTAAGCATTGATTAACTGTGGAGATGTTAACATCCTCAAGTTGACTGCTTATTTCTTTAAACATATTCACACTGACGTATGAAGGCATAAGAAAAAGAAAGCTGTCAGGGATTCCTGGAGCTGATATTTCCCAGAGATGCAGAGTTCATAAACCATGACGTGGGAGAAAATGACAGACCCATCTGTCTGTATACTGCCACAATAGATGCCCCTAGGCATCTACGTGTCATATGAAACTATAGTGGACGCTACTGCAGTAAAAGTCTAACGTGTAAAAGAAGCAAAGTACTGACTTGTGTAGGCATGCTGCCCACTGCTGGCTTCTAAACACAAAGCCCTTGATGAATGAGATGTTCAGTATGTGGAAGTGAGGTTAAACAGTCATAAGCAGGATGTGATGAATTTGGTTAGCCCAGTATCAGAGCACCATGTATTAGCTCTGCATTTATGGAAACCTGCTTGGATGGCAGGGAATGCTCGTGTTCTGCTCCTGGCTTCTCTTGAGGGCTGACCAACATTACCTGGCTTCTCTTGAGGGCTGACCAACATTACCTGGCTTCTCTTGAGGGCTGACTAACATTGCCTGGCTTCTCTTGAGGGCTGACCAACATTGCCTGCCTTCTCTTGAGGGCTGACCAACACTACCTGGCTTCTCTTGAGGGCTGACCAGTATTACCTGGCTTCTCTTGAGGGCTGACTAACATTACCTGGCTTCTCTTGAGGGCTGACCAGTATTACCTGGCTTCTCTTGAGGGCTGACCAGTATTACCTGGCTTCTCTTGAGGGCTGACCAACATTACCTGGCTTCTCTTGAGGGCTGACTAACATAACCTGGCTCCTCTTGAGGGCTGACCAACATTACCTGGCTTCTCTTGAGGGCTGACCAACATTACCTGGCTTCTCTTGAGGGCTGACTAACATTACCTGGCTTCTCTTGAGGGCTGACTAGTATTACCTGGCTTCTCTTGAGGGCTGACCAACATTACCTGGCTTCTCTTGAGGGCTGACCAGTATTACCTGGCTTCTCTTGAGGGCTGACCAACATTACCTGGCTTCTATAGACCAGCCTTATGCGGGGAGCCACCTGTGACCTCTTGGTTGGTTTTGACACACTTACGGGATCAGTCAGTTTGCACATAGAACCATTTTTTTTTCTAAGCTATTCCCTCATTGATCAGTGTGAGCCTACTGGCACTTACATATTGGATTTGGTGTACAGAGACTAGTTCTTCAACAGGTGAGGTTGGGAGAGTGTGGTCTTGTATCTCATCATTGGAACAGTGGCAAAGACTGTTTAAGATGCAACTGTTGTTAGTTATTTGTGCCGACGTTGCATGATGTCATTCCCTTGATATGTGTTGGATGGGCTGCTGTGGACTTTATTGAACCTTATGAGATACTTTTTTTAAAATAAAGATGTAAGCTTGTCTTGCAGGTTTTATTTTCTGCTGCCAGTGTATTTTCAGTGAAAAATCTTTTTTGGACACATTTAAATTCACTAAGCAAAAACCACGTTTTAAATAAAATCCATAAAAATATTATTTTTTTCGTTTGCATTTTGCACTCCACCCCGCTCCCCACTTTTTTCAGTTTGTAGTTTGGCTTCTATTGATACATCAAAGTTTGTTACAGTTAAGTCATCTAAGTCGAATCTGATAAGATGGATTTCACTTCAATTGACATGACCTGCTTAGTCATGTCCATTTTCCTTCTTTAAGATTGTATACAAATTATGTCCTGTTAAGTCACATTCAGTTAACTCAGATATTTGGATTAGTTTTATCTAGAAATAAATACTGAGTATACACATATTCATGTTTTAGTCGAACTGTTTATTATCACTATACAATTTTTACATGATGCAGACTGTATGTTCAGATGATGTAATCTCACCATTTGTTGCATTTAAACACGCCATGGAAAGACATTTTTACACCCCAAAAGCAAAGCAAAATCACTGATTTTTTAAATTTAATTAATGTCTGAATTTTCATTTGGTTGTAATGTTATACCTTCTAAAATAATTAACTATTTCAACATTTCTGATATTGTATTGCTATTTATTTGTTAACTTATGATGTTTCCTAACTGGCATAATTGTTTTACTCAATGCTTCTGCTTGGTTTTAGTGTACATTCCTGGTTGTGTGTGCTATCTGGATAAGTAGAAGTCCTTATGAGTGGGACAATTTTCTTTAAGTCCCTGTGACTCTTTTACTTTTCCATACTCAACTGATATAAACCATTTTATACTCAGACCATTATTTCATTACATGTTACCAATACCCCTTGGAAGAGATTGAACACTGCAAAGGCCCAAATAGATCCTGTAGTTATTTGTGGTCATTCATTTTTCTTTATCATCATTCCTAGTCTTGATTTTGCCATTTTCTTAAACCAAGTCTGTGCCACCCATTATTATTCTAATGAATTACCATTCTATCTGTTCGTGTATGTGTTCCTGCTTGCTGTTAAGATAGTACTAATATTATGTGGATCCCATGTAAGCTAGAAGAGGAGAAATGCAAATAAAATGAACAAATATCAGAATATTGTGCAAGGTGTGAGAAAAGAACAGTTGACTGAGGTTTAACGACAGAATACGTTCTTCAGGTACAGGCAAAGGAGGAAGGAGCATCTGGGGCTCCAAGTTTGAGGATGAGTTTCGAGAAAATCTAAAGGTAGGTGTCAGACTAGAAGTGAACATTTATGTTTATGTGTGCAGGTAAACACTAGAAGTGAACATTTATGTTTATGTGTGCAGGTGAACACTAGAAGTGAACACTTATGTTTATGTGTGCAGGTAAACACTAGAAGTGAACATTTATGTTTATGTGTGCAGGTGAACACTAGAAGTGAACATTTATGTTTATGTGTGCAGGTGAACACTAGAAGTGAACACTTATGTTTATGTGTGCAGGTGAACACTAGAAGTGAACATTTATGTTTATGTGTGCAGGTGAACACTAGAAGTGAACATTTATGTTTATGTGTGCAGGTGAACACTAGAAGTGAACATTTATGTTTATGTGTGCAGGTGAACACTAGAAGTGAACATTTATGTTTATGTGTGCAGGTGAACACTAGAAGTGAATACTTATGTTTATGTGTGCAGGTGAACACTAGAAGTGAACACTTATGTTTATGTGTGCAGGTAAACACTAGAAGTGAACATTTATGTTTATGTGTGCAGGTGAACACTAGAAGTGAACACTTATGTTTATGTGTGCAGGTGAACACTAGAAGTGAACATTTATGTTTATGTGTGCAGGTGAACACTAGAAGTGAACATTTATGTTTATGTGTGCAGGTGAACACTAGAAGTGAACATTTATGTTTATGTGTGCAGGTGAACACTAGAAGTGAACACTTATGTTTATGTGTGCAGGTGAACACTAGAAGTGAACACTTATGTTTATGTGTGCAGGTAAACACTAGAAGTGAACATTTATGTTTATGTGTGCAGGTAAACACTAGAAGTGAACATTTATGTTTATGTGTGCAGGTGAACACTAGAAGTGAACACTTATGTTTATGTGTGCAGGTGAACACTAGAAGTGAACACTTATGTTTATGTGTGCAGGTAAACACTAGAAGTGAACATTTATGTTTATGTGTGCAGGTGAACACTAGAAGTGAACACTTATGTTTATGTGTGCAGGTGAACACTTATGTTTATGTGTGCAGGTAAACACTAGAAGTGAACATTTATGTTTATGTGTGCAGGTGAACACTAGAAGTGAACATTTATGTTTATGTGTGCAGGTAAAAACTAGAAATGAACACTTATGTTTATGTGTGCAGGTAAAAACTAGAAGTGAACATTTATGTTTATGTGTGCAGGTAAAAACTAGAACATTTATAACTATTTATGCAGGTGAAAACTGGAAGTGAATATCTGTAACTATGTGTTCAGATAAAAAAATCGGTTCTTAATTTATAACGTACCCCAAACACGAAATCCCCGTGGGAAATCCACAGTTGACCTGACAGTCCATTATTTAAAGGGGTGGAAGTGTGCTGTTGTGTGTGTGTGTTTTTTTTTGGAGTGTTCATCTAGTGTCTTCAAACCCTAACCCTAAACTTGGGTGTAGATAAATCGCGAGAAACTACAACCTGAACACCCTAGAATTTATTGGGAATGTCTCCCGTGACGTCAGGGGTAAGTTATAAATTAAGTACCAAAAATTAGAAGTGAACATTTATAATTATGTGTGCAGGTAAAAACTAGAAGTGAACATTTATAATTATGTGTGCAGATAAAAACTAGAAGTGAACATTTATAATTATATGTGCAGATAAAAACTAGAAGTGAACATTTATAATTATGTGTGCAGATAAAAACTAGAAGTGAACATTTATAATTATGTGTGCAGGTAAAAACTAGAAGTGTACATTTGTAATTATGTGTGCAGATAAAAACTAAAGGTGAACATTTATAATTATGTGTGCAGATAAAAACTAGAAGTGAACATTTATAATTATGTGTGCAGATAAAAATTTGAAGTGAACATTTATAATTATGTGTGCAGATAAAAACTAAAGGTGAACATTTATAATTATATGTGCAGATAAAGACTAGAAGTGAACATTTATAATTATGTGTGCAGATAAAAACTAAAGGTGAACATTTATAATTATATGTGCAGATAAAAACTAGAAGTGAACATTTATAATTATGTGTGCAGATAAAAACTAAAGGTGAACATTTATAATTATATGTGCAGATAAAAACTAGAAGTGAACATTTATAATTATGTGTGCAGATAAAAACTAGAAGTGAACATTTATAATTATGTGTGCAGATAAAAATTAGAAGTGAACATTTATAATTATGTGTGCAGATAAAAACTAGAAGTGAACATTTATAATTATGTGTGCAGGTAAAAATTAGAAGTGAACATTTATAATTATGTGTGCAGATAAAAACTAGAAGTGAACATTTATAATTATGTGTGCAGATAAAAACTAGAAGTGAACATTTGTAACTCTGGCACATACTAAAACTAGACATGAAGATCTATAATTATGTGTGCAGTTGAAAACTAGAAGTAAACATCTATGACTATTTATGCAGGTAAAAATTAAAAGTGAACATCTATAACTATGTATGCAGGTAACAATTGGAAGTGAATATCTATAACTATGTGTGAAGGCTTAAGGCAGAAACTAGAAAAGAAATGAACATCTGCAACTATGTGTGCAGGTAAAAAAAAACTACAAGTGAACATCTATTACTACAATTAATGCTATCATCACTACGCATTTTTTCAATAATTTCAATATTTTTTTTTAAACTACTATTGCTGCAACTTTTACCACATTCACTACTACAAACATTTTTTTTTTAGTAAATCAATTTTCTGTTTTACCGTTGTTATGTTTCAACAGCACAGTACCAGGGGTATAGTTTCCATGGCCAATAACGGACCAGACACAAACGCCTCCCAGTTTTTTATCACCTATGGTAAACAGCCTCATCTGGACATGAAATATACAGTGTTTGGCAGGTGGGTTTTGCTGTAACATCATCGCCTCAAAAACGGTCATCTTCACTGTTGTTATCACCACCATCTCATTCCTGCGTGGGTTTTGCTGTAACATCCTCATCTCAAACACTGTGCGATCTTCACTGTTGAGTTCTATATAGTTGTTGAGATGATCCCTATCATAGCAGAAGGTACACGCGCCGCAGATCGGAAGGTTGTAGGTACGCTCCCTGGCGGAGCCGGACTTTTCTTTAAAAATGACCTTGGCTCCCAGGTCGACCCAGCCTTGAGTGGGTACCGGGTGTAGTCCCGGGAAGTAAAGGCGGTCGGCTCGATGCTGACCACATCACCCATCTTGTGCCGTTGATCTAGAAAATATAGATCTAGCCCTATATGCCCTATACGCCTAGAGGCGTGGAAAAGGGTTCTTTACTTTTTTTGTTTTTCTTTATAGCAGAAGGTTGACATAGGGGGTACAATAGCATACAAGATTTCTGTATAGTTCTTGATATGACCACTACCTCTTGACATAGAAAAGGGTTGACAGGGTAGAGCAGGCATCATTTTAGTGGTGTCTTTAAATACTACTTCAGGAGTTGAGAGTAAATTATGAGGGATCATTTATAGCATTGTCTATAGAAGACATCCTATCGTTAACATCCCTGCATCCTATTGCAGGAGTCGGGAAGGAAGGGGGTGGGGTCAACTGGGGGAAATCTTGCTGTTTTGTTTCACAACCAGTTAAAAAATGTTTCATTTATAATTGAACTAAAACAAAATATAACGGATTGTTACAAGCACAGATGCTCTCACTTTCAAAACTGTCTGAGGCCCACTTGTTGGAGACTGGTAATCTATAGAGTTCATAATATGATCCCTACATCCTAAAGCAAAAGTGAGGCAGCAAAGTTGGTACCACAATGATATAGATGTTTGTAACTTTGCACAGTTCTTGATATTGTCACTGAAGTCACGCATAGGAGAGACGTGACCAGCTAGCAAACATAGGAGAGGTGTGACTAGCTAGCACACATAGGAGACGTGTGACCAGCTAGCAAACTAGCTAGCAAACATAGGTGAGACATGATTAGCTAGCAAACATAGGTGAGACATGACTAGCTAGCAAACATAGGTGAGACATGACTAGCTAGCAAACATAGGTGAGACATGACTAGCTAGCAAACATAGGTGAGACATGACTAGCTAGCAAACATAGGAGAGGTGTGACTAGCTAGCAAACATAGGTGAGACATGACTAGCTAGCAAACATAGGAGAGGTGTGACTAGCTAGCAAACATAGGTGAGACATGACTAGCTAGCAAACATAGGAGAGGGGTGATTAGCTAGCAAACATAGGTGAGACATGACTAGCTAGCAAACATAGGTGAGACATGACTAGCTAGCAAACATAGGAGAGGTGTGACTAGCTAGCAAACATAGGAGAGGTGTGACCAGCTAGCAAACATAGGAGAGACATGACTAGCTAGCAAACATAGGAGAGACATGACTAGCTAGCAAACATAGGTGAGACATGACTAGCTAGCAAACATAGGTGAGACATGACTAGCTAGCAAACATAGGAGAGGTGTGACTAGCTAGCAAACATAGGTGAGACATGACTAGCTAGCAAACATAGGAGAGGTGTGACTAGCTAGCAAACATAGGTGAGACATGACTAGCTAGCAAACATAGGAGAGGGGTGATTAGCTAGCAAACATAGGTGAGACATGACTAGCTAGCAAACATAGGTGAGACATGACTAGCTAGCAAACATAGGAGAGGTGTGACTAGCTAGCAAACATAGGTGAGACATGACTAGCTAGCAAACATAGGAGAGGGGTGATTAGCTAGCAAACATAGGAGAGGTGTGACTAGCTAGCAAACATAGGAGAGGTGTGACCAGCTAGCAAACATAGGAGAGGTGTGACCAGCTAGCAAACATAGGAGAGGTGTGACTAGCTAGCAAACATAGGTGAGACATGACTAGCTAGCAAACATAGGTGAGACATGACTAGCTAGCAAACATAGGAGAGGTGTGACCAGCTAGCAAACATAGGAGAGGTGTGACCAGCTAGCAAACATAGGAGAGGTGTGACCAGCTAGCAAACATAGGTAAGACATGATTAGCTAGCAAACATAGGTGAGACATGACTAGCTAGCAAACATAGGTAAGACATGACTAGCTAGCAAACATAGGAGAGGTGTGACCAGCTAGCAAACATAGGAGAGGTGTGACCAGCTAGCAAACATAGGTGAGACATGACTAGCTAGCAAACATAGGAGAGGTGTGACTAGCTAGCAAACATAGGTGAGACATGACTAGCTAGCAAACATAGGAGAGGTGTGACCAGCTAGCAAACATAGGAGAGGTGTGACTAGCTAGCAAACATAGGTGAGACATGACTAGCTAGCAAACATAGGAGAGGTGTGACCAGCTAGCAAACATAGGAGAGGTGTGACTAGCTAGCAAACATAGGTGAGACATGACTAGCTAGCAAACATAGGAGAGGTGTGACTAGCTAGCAAACATAGGAGAGGTGTGACCAGCTAGCAAACATAGGAGAGGTGTGACTAGCTAGCAAACATACATTTCTTCTAGGAAGCTATTCAGTAAATGAATCCTTCATTATATAGTGTCTGTCTCTCTTTTTCCCCCCAGGGTGATTGACGGCTTTGATACTCTAGACAGCATGGAGAAAATTCCAGTAAATGAGAAAAACTACAGACCATTGGCAGAAACCCGACTGCGGGAAATTACTATACACGCTAATCCTATCGCAGAGGCAGGACAACAGTGACGACCGTCAGTGAGCTTTCTCTGGATCAAGTCAAAACCCAGAACTGACATTTTGTGATGTGTCAAGGGAGAAGTATGACATTTTGTGAAGTGTCCTAAAGTCAGAACCCAGAACTATGACTTTTTGTGGTCTATCAAGTCAGAACTATGACATTTTATGATGTCCTAAAATCACAACCTTGAACTTAACATTTTGTAATCTGTCGACAAGTCAGAAGCCAGATCTATGACATTTTTTAATCTGTCGACAAGTCAGAACCAAGATCTATGATATTTTGTGATCTATTTTAAAGTCTGAAACTAGAACTATGATTTTGTTATCTGTCGTCAGATCAGAACCCAAATCTATGAATTTTGTGATCTGTTTCAAAGTCAGAACCAAGAGCATGGTATTGTGCCAATTCTTGCATGTAGATACCACAAGTGCTTCCAGTTTTGTCCCATAGATCACATAAAGCAGAATCCCAGCACAGTGCACCAAAGCCATTGCACTGGCAACAATACAGTGGCACACTGTCTCTGAGGGAGCCGTGTTGGTGTAGTGGCTAGACACACACTGAGTGCTGATTGGTCTATAACAGTATGAGTCTAGCTCTAATGTGCCACTGATGTGAAATGTCCTTGACCTACTCTCTACAAATGACTGTAATGAATTGTCTGTAAATACAGTGGCTTTTTGATAACATTCAGTTTGTCTTAAGTCTTAAATGTTAGTCAAAATATGCATGTATTTGTTTGTTAGGGGTGGGGAGGGTGTTGAGATAAGTTGCTTTTTGTGGTGGAGCATGTAACCTGCTCAGCTAGTTACAAGAATGTCCACAGATTGAAATTACTTCATATGTTTCACTTGGCCTCCATTTGGCTTATCTTGGCAGGATTAAGTGTAATTCGAGTTCATTTCCAGACGTCTTGACTCATCTTGCCAATGGACTTTGACAGACATGGGGAAGGGGGGGGGGGGGGGGGGTGAGGGGGGAGTGAGGTCGACAAACTGTGCAACTCTTCTTCACTTTAAAGTCACTGCGCAAGTCATCCTTTCATCCATCCCTCAATAGAAAAATGCTTTCAACGTGGACAGAAGAAACATTTCAAGGAGAACCTTGAGACCTCACTGAAAGAATTCTGTATTGACCGGAAGTAGCTGCATGTGACCGCTCATCTTGGCTCTCCTCTCTTCATCGAGGAGCTGTGGCCCATGAAGCTGCTAGAAATGCAGCAGCAATTCAGAAAAGACAAGCCAGGAAAGACACTGAAGCAAACCACCAGAGAGATGCAGCTTCTATTCCCTGTCCACGTTACTCAAGAACTTTCAGTGCTAAAATTGGCCTTATCAGCCATTTGCGCACTCACAGAACCTAATCCAGTCACTAATGTATGAAAGGACTGGTCATTACAATTTCCTAACATACCAGTATGTCCTGAAGAAAACACCTGAAGGATGCTAATTACAGAGGGTCTCTGAAGCATGCCTGCCACTCTGCACAGACTTTACCTGTCTCCTCCTTTCTCAACATGCTCTGAGAGTACAGTTATGACATATTTACACAGCTGGTTCTCAAAACAGCGGAAGGTGACAGTGACTGCCTCTACCTCCATTCTTAAACTAAAGATTGTATCACATGCCAGGGCTTTGTTGCACCAAGCAACACACATTCCCATGCACTTCCTCTGTATAGGAAATCACATGGGGGGGGGGGGGGGGGGGGGGGGGGGGAGTCCATTAATGATGTGAAATTCTGATTCTGCATTGCCCCCTGGCCTGCCCCTGTACACTCAGCCCAATCTTAATGACTGACAATACATGAGACAGAAGGCTGTGGATAGAAATGACTACCAACAATACAAGACATATAATAACATCAAGAATCACAAGCCAATCTAGTTATAAATTACATGTAATAATTTTCAGAAATATATAATGCTCGTTATAAATTAATTGTGTGTAACAAAAATTACGTAAAATTATGGCACATATTTCTGTAAAATTTCAGCAACATTTTTACTGTAAATATTTTATATTTTGGAAATGAGGATCTCATATGGAAAAAATGTCAACGTCTTCTTATATGATCTGACTTTGAGAACAACAGCTGGGAATAAACACAGTCATATAAATGCCTGTTGAGTAAGGCTTTAGAGCAATGTTCCGATTTAGGGGGTCCACAGAACTTCACTGGCTCTAAACTCTGGCAGAAAGTTCTGGTTTTTTGTCGAATAGGTCCTGTCTTGTTCCAGAGCACAAATTTTGTGTGCACATCCATTTTACAGATCTGGCTTACTTGTATGCAGACTGTTCATTCCTTGTCTCGCAGGCAAGATGTCGAGGGAAAAACCTCTTATTAGTCGCCTTTTATGACATGCTTTTAGGGTGGGGGAGGGGGAGTGTCTATCCTTTAGTTAACCAAATATGTTTTTCAGCTACATTAACATCCAATTTTCCTGTAGCCTCTGTGATAGAGGTCACGGCATGAATGACCTGATACATTTTTTTAAGTACCTGGGGAGTGTATTCCTTTTAATTCTTCATGCTGTTCATTTTGATTGATTATTTCCTTAATTTTAAATCTTTTTAATTTACTTTGAGAAAATATTTTTTTTTAAATGTACATAATCAGATATTTAATTTATTACTGACCGGTATACAATGGTCGTTAAAAAATCTTTTTTTTTTAAAGGTTTTGAGGGGGTTTATGATCTATTTGCTTAAAAAAAAAATTATTTATTTTTTAGCATTATTGGGGTGATTTGAGTTAAATGATAGTGCCTTGAGCCTAAGCATAAATATTTCGTTTAGTCACATTACTGTGACCCTGAATAGTAAAAGCTAATTGGGGAATTATGAAAATCATCTCATAAAACTAAGAGAAATTATTTTTTTTTCATTATAAAATAATAAACGTAATTATACATTAGTGCTTATCACTGTGCAGATGCAAACAGAACCAATGCTATTAACTAGGCCGGATGAGGACTGGCCAGTGCTGCCATGCCAGTTTGGCTGTTTGGCAGAGATGAGTTGCAGACATTGATGCTGGATAACTGCTTCATGGTGCCAAACTGTTAAGGAGTCTGTGTAATACTTACAGAAAAAAACAACAACCTGTTTTAACATGGATTCTGTTTTGCGATTCTAATATTTATAAATTATAATACTGTTTTCATTATGAACATTAGCATGTAAGGGATCCGTGGTTGACCTTTACAGATAAGAGAGACTAGACGGTCTTGGCTGAGTGAACTAGATAGTAAAACAAGATACTGAATGTAGCATTACGTATGGCACTCACTGTCACTCGTCTTCCCTGTGATCGTATTTGTATCATGAAATAGCCTTACCAGCAATGACCAGTGAGGCTTCTGTTGTTGAGGTCTGTAACTGATTCTTAAAGTACTCCTTTATCTCCTATGTTCATCAATAAAGGCCAGTAGGCGCGGTGCAGTGTGGTTTACAGCTAGGCTGAGATTTGTGGGCCTTTTGGCCCAACACATCTGATTTCAGCAAACTGGTCCTATCCCCCCCCCCCCCCCCCCCCCCCCAAGCAATAAGGGTCCCGGAACCCATACAGGGATCTCAGAGTACTGAAGTGTTATGTGGAACTTGTCCTCAAGTAGTATAGAAGTCAATTTTGGAATGTGAATTAACAAATTAGGAGCAGCTTGGGGGTGGCCTGGTTTTTACAAATTGACTTGGTTTTCCAGGCCAGCCAAGTGGTACTAGGAAATTATATAGAAAGTAAAGCTGGTCAATGTGATACTGACCATATGAGCTATCGAGTGTTCACTGCTCTGTTTTAAACAAGACCAAAGTCCAGAAGTGGACAACCAGAACTTTCCATCAGAGTTTACAGCCGGTGAATGGTTGAGACAAAGAAGACAACTGTAATTTTTTCCTCTTGCTCAAGACCTTCTTGATTCTGGGGTTGAGAAGATTCGGGTCAGCAAAATCAGGTCAAATTACCCTGAAGTAAAAAGTACAGTAAAGGAAACTGTTCCACGCCTTTAGGCGTATAGGGCATATAGGGCTAGACCTATATTTTATAGACCAACGGCACAAGATGGGTGATGTGGTCAGCATCACGCTGGCCGCCTCTACTTCCCAGGACTGCACCCGGTACCCACTCAAGGCTGGGTCGACCTGGGAGCCAAGGTCATTTTTGAAGAAAAGTGGCTTCGCCAGGGAGCGAACCCACGAACTTCCGATCCGCGGCACGCGCCTAGCCGCTCTGCCGCGGTGACTCCCAATTACCCCGAAGACTTGACGTTTATCATCATGTCACTCTTCTGTTCTTGATGTATAACATCTTCATGAATGAATACTTGGAAAACAAATGTGGTTGTTTTCCTCTTTCCTTCCGAATTCAGTTACACAGCTGTGTAATGTTCTTTTGTTGCACTGTATCCCCGAGTGGAATTGTTACCATCCAGCAACTTGAGTCAAGTAGCCACATCCCTTTGTCACTGCATTCAACTCACTCAGTGCTACCTTCCCCATCCCCAAATTATCTTTTGCATGTGTGTTTTTGTATGTCTTTCTTTTTTTTTCTTGAGTCCTGTGTTTAATCTTGCACTAGGCCATATCCTTGGTACTATGCTAGCTGTCAGGGTTCACCCTGTTATGGGACAGTTCAGGACAAACGGGCTTCACGAAGGTTGACCAACCACGGCGTGTCCTGTGCTACCGAGTTCACGCCGTGGTTGGTCAACCTTCATGAAGTCCGTTTGTCCTGGACCCAGCTACGCTTCGCTCATACGTTCATGCTCGTTTATACGTGTGTATACACGTACTGAGTTGCACTAAGGGTCGCAAAGGGTACGATGACGAGATTAATCATCATCATACTGAACTGTCCCATAACAGGGCGAACCCTGACACTAGCCATCTGAGTGCTAAATCCTTGAATTCATCAAACTGCACTTAAATAACATAAAAATTTCGCCCTGAGAATGCATTAAGATGAAAAATATCAAAATTACACTTGGGTGACTGTGGCTGGGTGCCGA